GCCTTAGCCTCCCAAGTAGTTGGGACTATAGGCGCCCGCCACAATGCCCAGCTATTTTTTGGTTGTAGTTGTCATTGTTGTTTAGCTAGCCTGGGCTGGGTTCAAACCTGCCAGCCTTGGTGTTTGTGGCTAGTGCTGTAACCACTGTGCTATGGGTGCCAAGCCATTTCACAGTTTTGTATGTTTTATTTTACTAACTGAAGAGAAAGGACCATAAACTCCCTCATGATAGGATGTTTTTCTTAGAGGAAAAGGGTACACTAACTCTTTCAATATAATGAATGAAGTGACCGTGACCTTATTAGGAGCTGTGTTTATGACTGCTAAGATTTCATATTGAAAGTTTCAAAAAGATGACCAAATATTCAACAAACATAAAAAGATGATTTTATTCATGTATTTCTGATAAACTCTATCCTCAAATTAAGTTATAATCATATCAAGGAAATACAGGTTTCCCTTGGTCTCCATGGCAAGTTGGTCCCAGGATCCCCTTGAGACACCAAAATCCATGGATGCTTGAGCCCCTTATAAGAAATGATATATTTACAAATAACCTACAGATATTCTCCCACATAGTTCATAGATTACTTTTAATATACCAAATATAATGTAAATACTATGTGAATTGCTGTGATACTATGATTCATTAGAAATAACAACAAGAAAAAAATTCTGTAAATTTTCAGTCCAGACACAACCATCCACTCTTTTTCCTAGTCTGCATCTAATCCTTGGCTGAGAACCCAAGAGACACAGAGAACTGACTAAAATCCCTTTCTGAGTATCCATAGCTTCTCGCCTACATTTTTTTTTTTTTTTGACATAGAGTCTTACTCAGTTACCCTGGGGTGCCATGGCATCACAGCTCACAGCAGCCTCAAACGCCTGGGCTCAAGCAATCCACCTGTCTCAGCCTCCCCAAAAGCTGATACTACAGACGCCTGCCTCAATACCCAGCTAATTTTTCTGTCTTTAATAGAGACGGGGTCTTGCTCTTGCTCAGGCTGGGCTCAAACTGCTGAGCTCAAGGGATCCTCTCATCTCAGTCTCCCAGAGTGCTAGGATTACGGCGTGAGCCACTGCGCCCACCCTTTCTCTCCCACTTGTCGATAAAGGGATGCAGAAAGAAATTCAAAGTAAAATACTAATAACAGTAGAAGTCAGCATGGGGCTGGACACAGTGCTGGACTAAGTTTTGCTTCCAAATCTACTCTTACACCCATGTGCATGGGCAAACTAGGGGTAAAAATCCTTTCTCGAGAGATTAAGGACTATTCTCTTTCCTGTCCATATTTATTACCTAAGTACTAGCTAACCATTCCACATAGTATTCCTACCACCATTCAACTTCTTACCATCACTAGTATATTACATTAATAATTAACAGGTATCAGGCACATTCTAGGTGCTAGACACTGTATTGGGAGCTTTTTGAGAACCAGCTCAGTTAGTCCTCATAGTAACCCTATTAAGCAGGCTTTTAATGCCCTATTGTATATATGAGGAAAGGAGAATTTGAGACATTAAGTAACGTGTCTAGGCTCAGCGCCTATAGCTCAACCGGCTAAGGTGCCAGCCACGTACACCTAAGGTGGCGGGTTCAAATCCCAAGCCAAACAACAATGACGGCTGCAACCAAAAAATGGCCGGGCGTTGTGGCGGGCGCCTGTAGTCCCAGCTACTTGGGAGGCGGAGGCAGGAGACTCGC